GAGGTGGAGACTGGTCAGTAGTTGTAGATCTTCTACGACCACACCAGCACAGTGTAGATCACTTTGGAGGTAGACTGTTTTGTCTCTGCATGTCAAAGGAATGCAACTACCCAGCAAGCAGACACATATAAATTAATTTGAACCCCCCCCCCCCCTTCCCTATATGAGAATTGAGCTCGCGTCAACTACGTGCGACAGCAAAGCGCATAACCACTATAACAGACACTAATGAGGTAGAGGCTAAAGTTGAATTACATTATGTATTTCTGCCAAGTGAAAGTTCCACTGCAGGACAGAATGCAGATTTGACTGTTTGTAGTAGTCAAATACTCCTTGTCCGAGACCACATACTGCTATGGCGGAATATCTTTGCTCTTCGTTCGTTCGGGAGTTTGTTTGTTTGAGTAAAGAGAGCACATTGACATCATAATGGTTATTTAGTGCTGGGGAAAAAGTCAGATAGACCGACAGACAGAAACAACAGAGGGAAAGTAAAGAAGTAGGACCAACCAATGGTGCCTTCCAACAGCCCGCATCTTTGCTCTCTATAAAACCTCCACAGCTAAGCGTAAGCACCACGGTCGGTGTTTTGTTAGTTTAAAAAAAAAGAGTTTTACAATAATCACAAACATGTTTTGCAACGCAGTAAAGTCATATAAGTGCCGAAGATTAGAGGTGCTAAACGAGTAACGAAGAACTAAAAAAAAAAAAAGGAGGAGAGATAAGGACGATGAATGTTTGAAAGAAAAGAAGGAGCAAACCACACTAAAGCAACCGCCAACCATAGTCTTGGTCCGGTCCATAGTTGACCGACAATACGTCTGAGTGTTTATGTCTAGGATATTATTACAGTACAAGTCCATTGTAATAACAGAACATGACATAGCTGAAAAATGACATCAGCATCACCTGAACACAACAAACATGTTTGGTTGCTCATTATCATCAGATGGATGAACGACGAACTGACATCGGGTCAGAGTAATCGGGTCACTCTGAAGTCACAATGATAAACATTCTGCTAAAGAGTCGGGTCGTACACGTGCGAGTATACACAAACTCCTCCCTCCCTC